AAAGGATGGCTCTCCTTGAGCGACCCTGATGTGCAGGGTCGACTGCATTTATTTCGCACCGCTGTTTCGTTACAATTCGCTTTTGCTTTCCGGTGGAAATATGCGATTCGCACGCGTGTGGGAGATGAATGTGTGTTGATTATGATGCGTAGCATTTGATGGTGTATTAATTGAATTCCTACGAGTGTATCTTATCATTGTTGTATCGAGAAGATGTTAGAGAGGTCGTCGTCGAAAGCGATGTTCTCCTGGTTGTATGTATATTGCGATCGATCGATGGAACGAGAAAATTAAACGGTGAAAATATACGATGTTCAGTAGAAATGTTTTTCGATGTTTCGCTTTTTGTCTTATAGAATTCGGGGGTCGCCATCTTGCTCCTGCCACCGCGGCTTCAAAAATGGTTGCCTACGTTCGATTTTCATTCCAATTTAAAATTCACGTTTAAAAATAGTTATTTGTGCATAATTAGTATTTTAGTATAACATAACGGCATATATATTGAAGAATAACATGTTACAGTACATAATTATCGGATGAAGTACAGGAGTGGCGAAGACCTGACAGGATCATCGAAATCTGCGACTCATAAGAGTAAGGTTACAAGTTATAAGCCATTCATCTACGCAATTGTAAAAAATACGAAAAGCAGAGAGATAGATCACATGGACATTAACAACTGCCTTTCCCCTGAAATCCACCATATACACCAAATACACACTGAGTAATAAATAAAAAATAATTGTAATAATCCGCATATAGTTACGATCCCTGCCCATGCCACCAATGACTAAAAAGAGGGGAAACAAACTAGTTTTAGCAAATACTGTTCTGTGAATTTTGGATTAAATTTAATATTATTTGTAAAGATTTGGGACAAGGAGAATATGGCCCTTAGGTGGGTTGGAGGCTGAAGAATATTTTTTAATTTCACCAGCTCAACAAGTATTATTAGAACTACTTGTCACAGATTATGCTTGAAAAAACATGTCCTTTGATATGTTATTGAAAAATAATTCACATTTTTGTTTGAACAATGTACGGAGTACCTAGCAGTAATAATGTACTATATAGAATCAACCATCACGAAAAACCAAGAAAATACAAATAATACCTTTTCATTCAATATCTGGTAGTCTATCTATTTCTATCTATCTATATCTGATATGTCTATCTATTTATATAGTGTACTTTAATCTATATCCTATCGGGTTATATTCTCTCGGGAATAAGTGATCCCCCTCTCCCAAATGGTATCGCCCACGGCATCAGTTGCACGGTGAAAAGATAGTCAGTCAAATGGCCGGTTTTCAGCCTGAACTTTTTCACCCTCCAAAGCACAAAATATGATTATACGGATATAATACGGATGGACACGCGAGAGAAGAGGAGGAGGAAAAAAGACCCTGCCCCCTCGCCTCCTTGAGAAGAGAAAAAGACGCCTGCCTCCCTCCATCTGGAAGAAAGAAAAGGACCTCCCTCCTACCCTCACCTCCCCGGCACATCAAGTTAGTAGCTGACAATTTTTGCTATATCAATTCAAAGTGCAGACGAGTCACTCGATACTAGCATGGCGGTAACGCGGCCAACCGTAGTTTATGTGCGGCAAGGCAAGCAGACCGTGGCGCCGCTCTATACGCGGCGTAGTTCCCCAACGAGAGGCCGAGCGGGATGCGCGAAGTCGACGTCAGTGGCGTTAGTAGGGCGAAGCGGCGCCCGCCCCAGCGCGCCGCGCCCTGGTGGAACACCGGGGGCGCCCAGGCAGGAAAATGCGAATCTGGCTCAGGGCTGGCGGCGGGCGCGTGCGGCGCTCTATCTACTGTCCATCGGCACCGAGGCACGACTAGCTCGCGACGACCAGTGCGGCGGGCATCAAGGCAGCGCCAACCTACGCGCCAATCGCTCGACCGCGTGGCGACACTACTGGCGGCCGACGGCGAATCGGGAATCTGGAGCGTTTCTACTCGGCGAAAAGCCTTGACGCGGTGAGAGCGAGACTTCAATCCTTGGGGGCGCGTGGGCGGATCGACGGAGCGGGGGTGGCGAGGGACAAGGGAATGAAGTGCGGGGGTTGAAGGCACGGACACACGCATTCGACTATGAAGGTAAGAGTAGAAGGTATGATGTAGAGATGGAGACACCACCACGCACAACAAATCCCCCTTAACAATGAAAGAGCCGAGTGGCGATGCCGCGAGACACTCGCCCTCCCGAAACGCGCCGTACACGGCAAATAAACGAAGGGAGGAAAAGGGGGAGGGACGCCGGGCGTTGCGTTCGGTGTCGCCGTGGCAACCGACGCCAAGCAATACCCAACCACGTCGCCACAGCGCGTCGCGCGAAACAAGTGAGCGGAAAAGCCGGCCGACGAGATCGGCGAAGCAAAGTTACCGCCCATGTATACGCGACGTCCTCCGGCCCCCCCCCGCCCCCTCACCGCCTCTACATATACATACCTCCCGCACCACCGCCGCACACGGCACCCCGCAAACCCACCACCTCACAACCCGTGCGTCTCACGCGTAACACCAGAGACGATGATCATGACCTATGTGAGTTATATATCAGGCATCAAGTATTCAACACCGCCCAACCCCTGACGCCCTGACCTGCCCTGACCCCGGCCCCCAGCTGTTCGTTCTGTTCTGTTATTGGCGACTTTCGTCTGCTAAATATATGAGGAGCGTCGTAGCTGCCTTGTACGCGTAACGTATGTCATGTACTATACTATTATAGATAATATATAGTATCATATATATCACACGGTATTTATAATATGTACATATATTATATATTACATAATACATACAGACATACATACTATGTCATCAATGTCCTGCCGTAGACACGATCATTTTGCTTATCATATCAACACTACACGCGCACGAGAGAGAGGAGAGAGAAGAGAGAGAGAGAGAGGAGAGAAGAGAGAGAGAGAGCGAGAGAGGAGAAGCAAGAGAGAGAGAGAGGAGAGAGAGCAGAAGAGAGAGAGAGAGAGAGAGAGAGAGAGAGAGGAGGAGATAGAGATATATATGGTATAGTATATAGTGAGAGAAGAGGTTTATAAGTGAGAGAAAGATACTGATAATATATATAATTATATATATATAGGTAAGAAAAGATATATATATTATATATATAATATATATATATATAGGAGAGACAGAGATATATATATATATATAGTGAGAGACAGAGATATAAGGAGATAGAGAGAGAAGGATAAAG